GTGTTTATCCAGCCCTTCATGCACTACTGCCAAATGCTTTATAGAAATCCCTTATCTATCTCTGAGGTGCCAAAATTCCTTTTTTTCACCTTGAAGATATAAAATTTGATCTTTTCACCACTCTACTGATGGAGAATTGAGACATATTGAGACAGTTGAGGAGGAAACAATATAACAGTCAGATTTTGAAGGTCTTTAAGTCACTGAAGAAACTATGAAACAGACCATGTTTAATTATTGCATTTGGAGAGAAGAACAGGGCAGAGTCCTTCTATCTAGTGCACAGAGGGAGCTTGGAGATGCTTAGGGCTGTAGGTTAAAGTGGCTAGAGGAACAGCATCCCCATGCATCAGGACCTTAAAGAGAGGCAGAAACTTCCCTAATCGTAAGTTACAGAATCCAATATTGGTCATTTGTCTTTGAAAAACCCAACACCAGACAATGAACGAGTTTGAGTTGTTTAGAGAGAGAAAGCAAACTGAGAAGATGTGATAAAGTCTTTGAATAATACCAACATAAGTGGAATGCAGCATAAAATGATGTAATTGGTGTATCAGAGTATCATGGGTGTTTATTCATAAAATGACAAGTGAATCACTGAATGTAAGTACAACATTTATGTTCAGTAAGGTATTACTTAAAATGAAAAAAAGCACCAGCTTTTTTTTTTCCTTAGTACAGGAACTCTGTACTAATGGTGGGTAAGGAGATGAGGAGTGCTTCCCACCAAGGAGATGAAAGCCAGAGTGGGGGTCAGTATCACTTGATTTGAAGTAGAAAAGCACCTTCGTGCAAGAAGACTTCATTAAAGGCATTTTTCAGACAGCTTAAGTATTTTTAAAGAAAGACATGACCATATCTCTACCTAAGATCAAGCTTTTGTCCTTCAACACAAAATTGACAATATATCTTCATGAAGTTGTAATCTATTAGAAAGGAGATTTTAAAAGACACAGTACTGCAAGGAATAAAACAGGTAAGCAAATCTCATAAAATCGTATTTCCACTGGTATTATAGACTTATTATTATCTTGCTCAGAAATGTACAGTGCTTGTATAGTTAATGACAGTCATAATTCCCTCTCACAGTGTGCAACAACCCTTCCCATTTTGCCTAGGGCTGATACTGGATGAAGTGTCCAAGACTTTCACAAAACATGCCACTTTAATTTTATCACCATCAGTTGTAGGTAATTCCCCATGATCCTTTGGTCCAAGATCTCTGCAAAACAAAAACAAAAGACAACAAAACCCCATCTCGATATTGATTGCCCTCACATCTCCTCAGCCTGTTCTTTGCACCCTCCTTGATTCATAAACCTAAATCCATTACAATGCTGCTGCAAATATTCTTTCTCCAGTTTAGTATGTTAGCTATATCCTCACCTCATCTCTACTGTACAGTTTCTGTAAGGCAACAAAGCACACCACATCTTTTACCGTTTAAAATCCCTTACAATGGTTTCCTGTGCTTTTTAATTTTTGTTACAAACTACAGGGTAATTACCTATTTCTTCTCTTCTATCATCAGTGGAATCACATCTTTTGGTATCTTCTAAACTTCTTTTTGTCATTCTTTTTTGAAAAAGAGGAGAAAAGATTCCACTGAGCATTGAAGAGACATTGGAACAGGTTGCCCAGAGAGGTTGCCTCCTTCTTGAAGGCATTCAAGGCCAGGGTGGATCACAGAATCGTAGAATGGCTTGGTTTGGAAGGGACCTCAAGGATCATGAAGCTCCAACCCCTTGCCACAGGCAGGGCCACCAACCTCCTCATTTCATACCAGCCCAGGCTGCCCAGGGCCCCATCCAACCTGGCCTTGAACACCTCCAGGGATGGGGCTTTGAGCAACCTGGTCTTGTGAAAGGTATCCCTGCCTCGAGCAGGGGAGTTGGAACTAAGTGACCTTAAAGTTCTCTTTCAACCCAAACCATCCAATGATTCCTTGACAGTGGATTATTTTGGTTTGCAATATATTGGATTAATTTTTTTTCAGGTTCTTAAAAATGACTAGTTGGTTCCTGTGATTGTAACTTGTTTTGTTAATCACTGCCTTTGGTGACATAGCTGTCTTTTGTAAAATATTTAGGATGTACACTCAGGAGTTGCATGTGTGTAGAGGACTTAGAGGTCATGTTGCTTATCTCCACATTTTGCCACATTGGCCTTAGCTTAACAAGGTTTTGCCTTGTAACAGAGGCCTCTGTGGTAATACTAATGTATTTGAATAATAACAGGGTCGAGATCTGAGATTTATACCATCTGTTCTCCCGGATTTTGCCACATTATCCTAGATTAGCAGATGAGTCCAGCTCTCCTCTCTTGCAGTATTTGAGAGCAACAAAACAAATAGGTAATGAAATAAAAAGGTATCAATATAATTAATGTACAGCCCTACTGCTCTGCACAATGCACATATGTCACCTTTATATCATTCCTAGACCTTTTTCCCAGGTGGAAGCTGATAGAGAAACTGTGATGCAGTTGATAACCTTCAGCACACATCCAAGTGATCAGAACAGTAAGAAAGATAAAGGAAAATGCTTCACTGTTCACCCCATGTCAAAGCCCCAACATCTCTGGCCCACCTTGAATTGCAGGCAGACTCTGACACTGCATACAGTGCACCCTCCTGTGGGAGGACAGCACCACTCACTGAACCTTTTGGGGATTCTGGTGTCCCAAACCTCCCATGCTGAGCAGCCCGGCTTCTCGCTCTGGAGCACTCCCTGTTTCTCATCGGGGTTCTCTGCCGTCATCTCTGAGGTCAGGAAGCAAAGGCCACGCCTTGCCTGTTCCTAAACAAAAGACTATAGATAGCTGTATAGCTGTGGCAGCAAATGCTTCTCATTATATACTCCTCTCTCCTCAGACTGCCTGCCCAGTTGGGGGTGGGAGCAGCATGGGGCCCTGAGATGCCTGTGCTGCTCTGCTGTGCGTTTTCTGTTATGTGGGGTGAGGAGTGCATTCCTCACAGGCTTTGAATGTCTGCAAAGCCCCAGAGGAATCCTCAGAAGAGTGGGAGGAGAGAACGGGCACAGAAGTTACCCATGCACATCAGGATAAGGCATCCCTCTCCTGCATTGGCCTGCAAAGGTGTCCAAACCTGATGGAAGTGCAAGTGCTATGGCAGCACACCCTCTCAGTGTGCATTTAAAAGCCTTACACTTCCCACCAACAGAGCTCGTTTAGCTAGGCTTAGTCTGGCAAAACAGATCAAGCGGTGATAAATCTGTCTGCTTGTGTGCTTAGAGTCAGTGCAGGATAGGTAAAGGAATCATTTCAGATTAAGACTGATTGTGAACCAAGAACAGACAGATATAAACTGGCTATTATTACATGCAACAAGAATTCTGGAGACTGCTAGCTATTACAGCAATCAGGCTCTAAAACATCTTTTCAAAGTAAGAAAGACATAGGAGCAAAAATTCCAGAGCCTGATAAAATTGAGTGATTACAGGATTTCATACCTGTGGCAGCTTGCATTTGGACATGGAGGCCCAAGAATTACTGTGCACCACATTCTTTTCCTGCATCACAGAACTCCAATATAGAGCCTCTCCTCATGGAGTATGCATGCAATGCCTTGTACCAAGGGCAGGAAACTAACCTGCCAGTCCCACTCCCTCTCAGCTTTATGTGTCTGATGCCTAGTTCATGTTTCAGTGTCTCTGACAGAGCTTGCACAGAAGATTGTTATGGATATAGAAACATGGGACTGAAAAAAACTTCCTGGGACAGCTGGATGCAGCGTCAAGTGGCCATTCCCCAATTTATTGCCAAGCATTTTTTTTCATCATCGTTCTCAGGATGCTTGCAGAATTGGGAACATTGCAGGACCTGAAGTATCAGCAGGATGGGATAGCACTGCCCGTGAGCCTTAACTGCAATGAAATCCAAACATCATCTCCAAACTGCAGAGATGGGATGATCAACAAAATAATGAACAGTTCGCATAAAAGAGCCCTGGAGGGAAGTCTTGATATCCCTGGAGAAAGTGATACCCCTGGAGAAAGTGCATACGTCCAGAATATAAACAGAACCACTGAACTGAATCCTGCACTATAACCACATATATGAGCTACTTCAAATCTGCTGGGAATAGCCTAAAAGGCAACTCTACTAAAGTGCACCTCTGAAAAAAAGAAATCTGTATGGTTACTGATGAAATGCTACAAGTAGTAGCAATAGTAGGTTGAGGGGTTAGCTGCATAGGTCCCAGTTAGAAATACGGATGCTGACCATTCTCTGCAGAAGTGACATTTTGTGATTGCAACTGATCAATGCACAACATAATACTGTGTGGACCACAAGATACGTAGAGACAATGAACACAGATGCAAGCATAGTCCTGGTGACACCTTGCTACGGTCAGGCTAGCACGGCCCTTCTACAACTCCCAGTGCAAACCCTAAGGAGAAATAGCAGGAACATCCACCTCCTCTGCAACAGGCCGTGCCCTGCCCGTTTCTCGATCACACTGCAGGTTGTGAGCACTCACAAAACGACGGGCAGCTCCCGTATCAGTTCTGCTCAAGAGCGCACGGAGCTCCGCGCCCTCGGGCAGCTCAGCAGCTCGGTGGGGAACTCAGCCCCGCAAGGCGCTCAGCGCCGCGCTGCCACACCCCAGCACCCCCCGGGGAGCTCCGCACGTCCGCAGCGCCGCACGCATCCTCCGGGCAGCTCCGCGCTCCTCCCGCGTCCGTCCGCTTACCGCGAAGAGGCTGCCCGTTGCCACGGCCGCGCGCCTCCGGCCCTCCCTCGCTGCCGGGCGCAGGTACGGGAGCGCGCTCCCGGGTCCGCCGAGCGCCGCGGCAGCAGCGAGGGGAGGCGGGACGGCCGCGCCCGCAGACGGGGACGCCGCGGAGCCGGGCGGGCGCCGCACGCGGATCGCCCGGAGGCGGCGCTGCGGGGCGGGGCGGGGCAGGCCGCCAGGGGGCGCTACGTCAGCAGCGCCTGCGTCACTGCGCGAGAGCGACGCGTCTCTGCGCGCGACCAGCATGGAGCGCGGGCGGCCGGGCAGGCGGCGGAGCGCGGGCGTGAGTGAGCGCCGACTGCGGAGCGGGGCGGTTCTGCTCGGGAGGGGTCCGGCCGGGCTCTCGGGGCGGCAGGGAGAGGACGCGCCGCGAAGGAGGGTCGGCCGCGCCGGCGGGAGCTGTGCCGTAAGACAGTCGGGCCGCGGCGGGGCAGCGCCCGGTTCGTCACGCGGTTTGTCGTCCCGCAGGTGCGGGGCACGGGCGGCAGCAGCGCCGTCAGCAAATGCTCGGCGGCGGAGCGGGGCTACGTGCGGGACCGCTTCGTGCGGCTCCTCGCGGGCCGGTCGCGGAGGAGAACTGCGCTCATCCACCGGTAGGAACGCACGGTGCGGCTCGGGGCGAGGCGGCGGGCGGAAGGGCGAGCAGCGCCTGCCGGTTCGCGCTGCGCGTGTGAGCGCGGCTCTGCGGGGCGTTCAAGCGCGGGCGCTTACAGTGCGTACCCACGGTGAGCCTTGGCTAATGTGCGGCTGCTCGTACTGACGGCGACTACGGATTGCCAAAGGAGTTTCGTTTGGTAAAACAAATAAATGTCAGGAGCTTGCAGGCCTGCGAGGACAAACGCTGCTAATCACATCTGAAAGTGCATCATCCTGTGTTGAGCTGTCTGTTCGCGTGGTGTTAGCATGCCAAACTAAATTCATGCTAGCAGCTGCATGTTGCTGTTGTTAACGCTGTCTTCCCAAATCTTTGGGTTTCTTTTGAAACGTTTCTGTGAGGTCTGGGGATGGGGATAATGAACGCCTGCTGGAGGAGCTGACGGAGAGGAATGGCTGATGGGAACACCATGAAACTGAGTAAAAGGGAGCACCGAGGAAAAGGAGGCAGCAGCCCCAGCCAGGCCGGGTGGATGCTGAATGTTTTCCAGGAATTCAGTTTTCTTGGTTTTCATCACACAGAAAAAAGAAAACTAACACAGAAAATGAAACTCCTTTCAATTTTCATTTTTGCTCCCTGTTAATGTTCTTGCATGTGCAGCATTCATTTTGTTGTACCCAATAACTGCTGGTTGAGCACATCACCTTGTGCATAAAGGAGTTAATTTCATATTGTCACACCCTCTGATTTGGGGCAGGAAGTGAGATCACAGAATCATAGAATGGCCCGGGTTGAAAGGACCCCAAGAATCATGAAGCTCCAACCCCCCCACCGCAGGCAGAGCCACCAATCTCCACATTTCATAGCAGCCCAGGTTGCCCAGGGCCCCATCCAACCTGACCTTGAACACCTCCAGGGATGGACGGGGCATCCACAGCCTCTCTGGGCAGCTGTTCCAGCACCTTACCACTCTCTCTGTCAAGAACTTCACCCTGACATCCAACCTCAATCCTCCCTCCCTTAACTTCAAACCATTTCCCCTTGTCCTGCTGTTGTCTACCTTTTCCAAGAGCTGACTCCCCTCCTGTTTGTAGGCTCCCTTTAGGTCCTGGAAGGTTCCAATGAGGTCAGCCCACAGCCTTCTCTTCTCCAGGCTGAACAAGCCCAGCTCCCTCAGCCTGTCTTTGTAGTGGAGGTGCTGCAGCCCTCTGATCATCTTTGTGGCCCCCCTCTGGACCCTCTCCAACAGCTCCCTGTCTTTCTTGTATTGTGGACCCCAGACCTGGACACAGTACTGCAGATGGGGAGTAGAGGGGGACAATCACCTCCCTGTCCCTGCTGGCCACCCCTCTGCTGATGGAGCCCAGGATCCCATTGGCTTTCTGAGCTGCAAGAGCACACTGCTGGCTTATGTTCAGTTTTTCATCCATCAGGACCCCCAAATCCTTCTCTGCAGGGCTGCTCTCAAGGACTGCTCTTTTCAGTCTGTATGGATGCCTGGGATTCCTCTGGCCCAAGTGTCAAACCTTGCACTTTGCTGTGTTGAACCTCATTAGGTGCACCCAGGCCGAGATGTTGGCCAACTGCATTGCAGGAAGCATTCTGACTGTCTGGACTCATCTTTTTTCATCCACGGAATATTTATGTTTGTAGACTCGTGCAGTTAGGATATTTACATGTTTTTTCAGTTATCTGTAGTCTTGGTGGTTAGACACTAAATACAGGGTCTAGATATGACAAAATCATCAGATATCTGCAAGTGCAGACATATAAATATGATTATTGGGTGGAAGCTGAGAGAGAAAAGGTTTGTGGTTTTTTTTGGTTTTTTTTTTTTTTTTTTGGAATAGACAGTGTAATTCTTAGAGAAATAGGCTTAGTGGACAGCAGTTCCAATTGAATTTCATTCTACAGAGGTTATTATGTCCGTGCCTGTGCTGTAGATCACTGTGTTCAAGATTTCCTGCTGAAGACCAGCGGTCATCCTAGGAGACAGGTACGTTTCCTTTGTCTGGCTGTGCTGACAGCTTTTGCTGTACTTGTATATGAAATGTTTTTTTAGCACCTGTTGTGGTCTTCTCCCAGAATAGGGCAGAGGATCTAATTGGCAGTACTGGTTCTGCATTTGTTACTGACAGAAATATCTATCTAATATTTGCACAAGTTTTTCAACCTCTTCTGGGAGAATACCTGATTTTGTTACTCTGCAGATTGTGTACCTGAACTTGAACGTTCTTCACAGGAAGATGCTCAGGATGCTGCTAGAGTATAACTTGTTTTCTGTCAATTTCTCTGCAGATCCTGTCTCTAGGTGCTGGCTTTGACTCCTTGTACTTCCGTTTGAAAGACATGGATCTTCTACATCACACTGTGATATATGAGGTGGATTTCCCAAGTGTGGCATGCCAAAAAGCTACTCTGATCAAGAGGACTGAAGAGTTATCAGCACTGGTAGAAGATACTGGAGCAGAAGGGTTAGGTATGGTATTTGTGGAAAATGTTCTGGATACTGCATGTGTGGAAGAAGAAAAATAAAGCTTCAGCCTTAAAAAACTGAGGTGTATTAGAATAACTAGGAAGTACATATATGTAGTAAGTACATGTATGTAGTACATGTTTTCTGAAAAAAATTGGAACCATTTGTAAGCATTGGGAGACAACAAGATGCGTAACTGCTAGGAAGTTTTTGACGAGCGGATTATATCAAACAAAGCTCAGTTTCTTTTTGTGGCAACTTTTAAAGTATTGTGTCGAGCTTTGGATTTACCAGCGCAAAGACAATGGCAAACTGTAGCACATACTTTGATGGGTCAGGAGAATGAGAAAGGGCTGAAGCACGTAATGTAGGTGGTAAAGCTGAGAGAACTGGTTTTCCTCAACCTCAAGAGAAGGATGAGTGGTGGGGGATAGTTTTACTGCAGTTTTTAACTACCCAGTGGAAAATTATAATGAAGATGGAGCCAGACTCTTTTGGGAGACAGTAGAACTTGACTGCACAAAGCCTTGAGTAGACTGTTACAGATAACCTTTCAAGTCACCTTTCCACCTAAATGATTCTGTGATTTATGGTCTTTGTGGGTAGGGGAAAAGCTATTATTCCTAAGCATCCTGACTGTAATTGCAGTATTAGTCATTGTGTTATTTGACTTCTTTTAAATCTCCAGGAAGAGGAAAAAATGAATCTTGTGAAAATGCTGTAGAATATAAGCACAGCTGAAGGGCTAGTTTTACAACTAAGTACTAAGTGGCAGTTCATTTGCAAAATGGAGGGATGTAAGGTATGGGGTTCTTGCATCTGATCTCCTTCAAGGTTTACGTTAATGCTCTAGTTGATAGGCTGCGGAAGGTGGAAATGTCAGAATGCAGTAGAAGATGCGGAAGGTGGAAATGTCAGAATGCAGTAGAAGATAGAGATAGTTGCAATGTGATAGATGGAATTAGGGTTTTGACAAAGTACAGGAAATGTGTAAATACAGGAAATCTGTGAAGCGTGGGATGAAATACAATAGGCACATGTTCAAGCCACTATGTTTTGACTGTGATCACAGAATTATAGGGTCTGGAAGGGACCTCTGGAACTCATCGAGTCCAACCCCCCTGCAAAACGGGCTCCCTACAGCAGGCTGCACAAGTGGGCATCCAGGCAAATCTGGAATATCTCCAGAGAAGAAGCCACAGCCTCCCTGGGCAGCCTGTTCCAGAGCTCCATCATCCTCACTGTGGAGAAGTTCCTTCTCATATTGGTGCGGAACTTCCTATGCTCCAGTTTATGGCCATTTCCCCTTCTCCTGTCCCCACAGACTGCTGAGAAGAGATTGGCTGTGTCCTTTGGACTCCCACACCTCAGATATTTATAAACATTAATCTGATCCCCTTTTAGTCTTCTTTCCTCAAGGCTGAACAGACCCACGTCACCTCCCTTGCTCTGCTGGCCATGCTCCTTTTAATGCACCCCAGGATCCCATTGGCCTTCCTGGCCAGCAGGGCACACTGCTGGCTCACGGCCAACCTGTCGTCCACCAGGACCCCCAGGTCCTTGTCTGTAGAGCTCCTCTCCAGCAGGTCGTGTCCCAACCTCTATTGATACCTGCGGTTATTCCTTCCCAGGTGCAAGACTCAACACTTGCTTTTGTTACACCGATGAGGTTTGTTACTGCCCAGCTCTCCAGCCTGTCCAGGTCTTGCTGAATGGCAGCACAGCCTTTTGGTGTGCCAGCCACTTCTCCCAGCTTTGTCTCATCAGTGTACTTACTGAGGGCGGACACCTATCCTCTCATCAAAGTTGCTGAAGATTCAGCAAGACCGGACCCAGCACCGACCCCTGGGGAATGCTGCCAGTCAGATTGTTAGTTTAAATACAGGCAGAGAACAGCTACAGAGTTAGACAGAACCCAAGTTGTGGCCTCCCACAAACAATTGCATGTGACTTAGTGACTAGCTCTTCCATAAGCGGGTTTGGTTTCCTCTTGAATCTGTCCACATTTTATATATATTTACAGCATCCTGTGGAAAAGGATTCTGTCCATATCAATAACCTTCCAAGTACTTGAATTAAAAGGTGGGTGTCAAGGGAAATGGGAATATGCTGTTCTCTGTGTCCAGAAAAAGTGATGAGATGGGCAATTGAGATGTGAGAAGGAAAAAACAGGAAACACTGGGATGGGCTACTGTTGGAGGCCATTTAGTTTTTTGGTGATGGATGCCTTTGAGAAGTGTGTACATTAATAAATCTCAGGACAGGTATAGTTGGGATTTCACTGGCATAGAAGCAACAGAGCAGCTAACATATACATCTACTATACTACCTAGTTATTTTCAGTCTGATTTTGGCAGAAAAGAATGAAGTAACTTATGATTGATGATAGTCATAAGAAGCATGCCTTTATAATGCTTGCAGATCATAAGCTGGGACCTATTTCTGAGAACAGTGCTCTGTAAGACTAGTCCTAATGTCCGCAGGGAGTTCTCATGATTCAGAATCTAAAGCCATTTTACAGAAATGAAATCTTTTTTTTTGAGATTAAAAAACACAAAATACACAAACCCACAAACTCACATTTTGTAGATGTGAGAGAAGCTGTTTTGCCAAAGCAGTGGTATTTTCTTAGCTTGAATCAAAATGTCTGTGAAGGAGAACGGTGATATAAAAATGTTGTTAAAGTAAAGGTGATAAAGTTTTGTTCGTATAGTAAATATAACTGTTGGAAATTAGTAGTTGAAGTTTGTACTAGTAATAGTGGAATTTCAATTCTGAGTTTATTGGGTCTTTTACTGATGCTTCTGGATGCTACCCTATTATGGTTCATTTAGTTACGGGATTTTCTTGTTTATTTCACAGAAAAGTTGAGTAAGGCATGGTCTTGTGTGTGATTGCTGGTAGTACTGATTTTCCTTGTTTAGGTCTCAGTATTGCATAGCCACTGTAGTGAGTTAGCATTGTTTTTGTCCCACAGGAGTCACCACTGCCTTTTCTGGAAAGGATTATAGATTATTAGGAGTGGATTTATCAGAGCTGCCAAAGCTGAGTGTAGCTCTAGATGAAGCAGGACTGGACACTGAAGTCCCCACCCTTTTCATAGCAGAGGTGGTGCTCACCTACATGGAAAACAGCAGGTCAGTTGAGCTATGCTTTGTTAGCTAGGTTGTAAAATGAGAAGCAGAGACTTCACTGTAAGTCATGGGAGACTTGCTGTCTTAAAACTAAAGCCTCATGAGTTCTGTGGAAGTTCCAAACAGCTCCTTACATTGTAAGTATGATGGAGCAGTTGATTCCCACATCAAAACAGCAGGCAGTGTGCACAGTTGGAACACAGGAGCTTCTGTCTGAACATCTGCAAACGCTTCTTTACTGTGTGAGTGATGGGCACTGTCACAGCTTGCCTAGACAGGCTGTGGAATCTCCCTCCTTGGAGATCTTCAAAAGCTGTTTACAAGGGTGGATAGTGATAGGGCAAGGGGGAATGGTTTTAAAGTGAGACAGGGAGGTTTAGGTTGGATATGAGGAAGAAGTTTTTCACCCAGAGGGTGGTGAGGCACTGGAACAGGTTGCCCAAGGAGGTTGTGGATGCCCCATCCCTGCAGGCGTTTAAGGCCAGGCTGGATGTGGCTCTGGGCAGCCTGGTCTGCTGGTTGGCGACCTGCACACAGCAGGGGGTTGGACCTGGATGAGCATTATGCTCCTTTGCAACCCAGGGCATTCTGTGATCCTGTTTGGCCATGGTCCTGGGTAGGCAGCTCTGGGTGGTTCTGCTGGTTGGACCAGAGGTTGGACCAGATGATACCCAGAGGTTTCTCCAATCTCATGTATTCTGTGAACCTAAAAGAGAGGTTAAAAAGATAAAAAGAAGAAAAACCCTAAGAACTGTGAGGTTTTTTTGTTTGTTTGTTTTTTAAATTTTGGGGTCTTCTCATCCCAGACTTCCTCTATGAATGGATGAGACTTTCATAGACCCCAGTACAGGTTTCTCTTTTGTATGTTATCTGTCAGGATGCCTTAATAGCGTGCTTTATGTTGCATCTGTCCTATAAGAGGTGGTCCCACAGGTATTTGATTATTCTTATGTATATCTGCCCGACAGGTCAGATGCCTTGATTCAGTGGGCAGCAGAGCATTTCTCTCATGCATGCTTTCTGCTCTATGAGCAGATGCACCCAGAGGACCCCTTCGGACGTGTCATGCAACAGCATTTTAGTCAGCTGAACTCTGCACTTCGTTCTTTGTCTCAATACCCTGATCGTGAAGCACAGCAGAAGCGTTTTTTTGAAAAAGTAAGTACCTGCAGCCCTAAGAGCCATGGGAAACCTGAAACACGTGGAAAAGGGTGTAACCTTAGGTAATTTTAGAAGTCATTACCTGGGCCAACTAGGTTGAAGCAAAAATGGCCAATGCTGCCTGCTCTGGTAATGTGGCTAGTCATTTGAAGGTCCCTTGCCAACAAGCAGCCTGTTTGCTGGTATGGGATTAAGGCAACATATGGGTTCCTTTTAGATTTTTAATGTTAGATATTCTTTAGAAACTTTTAGGCAAGACATCTCATCAGAATTTGAGCTGCTGCTACTTTCCAGCTGGATAGTTTTAAAGACTCATGCAGATGCTTCATTTAGAGTCTTTGTTTTCTTGTGGGAAGTGAGTCTTTTCTTCCAGAAGTAATAATTTTGAAGGATTTCTATTTTAGGGCTGGACTGAGTGCAGCGTCATGGATATGAATGAGTTTTTCACCCGTTGTATTCCAGAAGATGAGCAACACAGAGTGCAGGCTCTGGAGCCTTTTGATGAATATGAGGTAATCCTTTTCAACATTGAAAGAAGACTCTTCTGTGTTAGAAAAGATTTGTGTTCCTTCCTCAGTGAGAGATATCTTAGGGAGGCAATCTCAACATTGCAAAGTAGCTGCTGTTATAAAGGATATTGCTGACGCTGAAAATTTGCAAGTGCTCCAGTTGCAGTTCTTTCAATGCAAAAATCCATCGAGGATTACTTGAATACATAGAATGTATGCCTGGTGTGAGGTTCCTGACCTGCAAACATCTGGGACTATTTCTGGAGGGAGCATATGCTGCTCTTGCATTTCCCTGGGCTGTTAGTGTTTTGTCAGTGTTGAATATGGTTTACTAGCTATATTCAACAGGTATTTTGTTATGTTTTTTTATGTGGCCATTCCTATAATAATGACTGAGTTTATCTACGACTGTATTCTGTGCCATTTTTTATGTTAACTGCTGGCAAATTTGCAAGTGTCAGAAATGTAAGGGAGAAAATAAAACAAGGACAATGAGTAACTTTGAGGTAAGTATTGTGTAAGATAATTACTGGATGTTTCTCATTCTACCTTGTGGTTCTTTGTTTATAATTCTAGAAATGTAATAGCCTGCAGTATGAGAACAGTTTAATGGGTTGTGTTTACTTTGCCGCCAGGCATCGTGAACAAAATTGTTAACTGAAATTCTGACAGATTTGCATAGTGGTGTAGCAGTGTTTTCAGCAAATATTGTAGAGGAAGGAAATTTCTCTTAAAGTGAGAAAGCAGACTTTATATCATTTCGTTACTGAGGACAGTGGCAAATCCATGTTGGGATATCTGCGTAGGAATAACGTAATTGATAGCAGAGAGCTCAGTAATTGGCCTTTCAGGTAAAGATAGGGTAAGATCTGGGTCGTACTAGAAACAAGCTTAATGGAATTAGATTAGAAACACAAAATACGTACTTACTGCTGAGGGTGACTAATTTCTAGAATAATTTTCCTAGGACAAATAGTGAACTCTTAAATTTCCAGTATTTACATTCATTTTTTTTATACCATTTTTTGGAAGTTTTGTCTTCACCTAAGATGAAATTTGGGCTCATGATGTTGATGCTGTTATTTCTTTGCGCTTTAAATTTCTTGTTTATGCCACCTTGTCATACAGTCAGGTGAATATATTCAGTCCCCTGGTACTGAACACACTCAATTCCTCAATGTTCACAAAAGCCAGGGTGAACTCTAGTATATTGCTACTGACTTCTTGTGCTGTTTGCCTCTGCTTGTGCTGTTTGCCTACGAGTGATTCCACATTGAGACTGTAAATCATATTTAGGTATTGTCAAATAGCAGAGGCCAGGCTGTATCTTTGAACATTTATGATTTCTTTAGGGTCAGTCATATTTTGTAACATTTGGGGAATCTTAATCCCTCTGGTATACAGCCTTCAGTCCTTTTTATGATCACACCTTGGAAGCATAAAGGGAAGCTAGTTCCAAAGAAGAGCATTCATCATGTAACTTACAATACAGCTATGGAACTCGTTGCTATAGAATGTGTGTGTGAGTTTAAAGAGCAGCTGGATAGTTCATGATGAGAAAACCACCCAGAGTTATTTGATGAAACAGGGAATCCCTGGGCTGTATACTTTTGAGGGTTAGAAGAGACTGTACAAACTTGTTCTTTCTCAGATTCAGTTTTAGGCTTCTGATTTTGGCCATTGCTGGAAATACTGTTAAGTAAGTTTCATTTATGACTTTTTGCTCTGGCCATTCATTACTACCCTTTGGTCTGAGATCTTGAGAGCGCACGCTTGTTTTTGTTTGTTTCTTTTGGCTTGATACAGGAATGGCATCTGAAGTGTTCTCATTACTTTGTCTTGACTGCATCAAAGGGGATGGAACCCTCCTGGACTCCATTATTATCCAACGTGACAGGTACGTACTGGCTAGTTTTTGTAGTACTCTTTTATCTCTCACAGGCTCCTCTGATAGATTTTAGGAGACGGTAAAACCCTGGAATGAACACATGAGATGGTAATATCCAGTTGGCTTTTTCCATTCTCATTCACTAAGGACTGCTCATTGCCAGGTGAAACCAGCCCGACAAATTCCTGCTTTTGTCTGCTTGCTTTCTTTAGGGAGCAGCAAGCAGAAGCGCAAAGTTGGTGTAGGATAGTTGAATGTGATGCAGATTGATTTCTATGGCATGTCAGATTGTCAGTTGGCTGCATCAACTCACTTTGCAATTTTTTGTTTTATTTTATTTTTAAAGCTAAAAAGTATAAGTGTTGGTTCTTGTTTGTTTGAAATTGACGTTGTTTTGTTCTTCGTTGGCTTGCAGTTCCTCCTCATCATGGCCCTATCAGGTTGGCTGGGAGTGTCAGTGCATTGGCATGTGCAGCTCAGTCTGAAGTTCTTGGCTTGAGACGTTACGGTCACCACTCCGCTCTTATAAAACCCAATGTGATTCTGACCACTGGAGGCTTTGGGGAGGAGAATGGACATCACTGTCGTATGAGGAGTTTTCATGTTCTTATGAAGTATGCAGGCTCCTGGCAAACCAGATGTGTGAAAAAGGAAAATCCTGATAAAAGATGGGGTAAGTGTTTCAAGTGAGACACTGATGGCAGGGGTAAGGGAGATGTTTGTGCTAGCAGTGAAATGTGTATCAGTAAGTGATGTCACAGTGCAATTATGCTGGCAGGCAGAGAGATGTGAAGGTTCTGAAAGTCACAGGAGAAACAACAGTGTGACCTGTGGTATCTTCTGTCTCTCCAGGTGAGCGACTGTACCATACTGTGTCATGTCTCTCAGACAGCCTAGCCCTGGTGGTAGGAGGACGAACATCCCCATCAAATGCAGCTTTGGGAATGTTGTGGCTGAGGTTCCCCAAAATCTGTGATGACTCAGGTCCAGGTGATGTTATTGTGGAGCCTGTAAGTCTGCAGCCTGCTGCTGAACCAGCTGCTTCACGTTGGAGGCACAGTACAACTGAAGTAATATTCAAAGGTAAAAAGGTTGGAAAGAGTGGAGATACATTCTGAAATTTCTGTATGGGTTGGTCCTGTGGCCAGGTCTTCCTGTGCTCTTGCCCTTGGAGAACACAGAAGAGCATGCACACTTCTCTTCCTGCCATTATGCTGTTCCCACTGTTGGCGTACTCTGTATGCTGTGCTGTTTCTCCTTCCTTTAGGAAAATGGCTGGTAGATAGAGAGGCTCCTGTGTAAGAAGTGATATAACTAGACTGGGATTCTTCTAACTGGAGGAGAGTTGAAGGGACAGACTGTGAGCAAAGAAACTATTTAAACAGGGTGGTATGAAGGACAGACAAAGAGGAAGACCGAAGCACCAGCTGGAATTGTTAAGCACATTTCAGTAAAACTAAAAATTTTCCTTATTAAGTATTGCAATTATTCTCTGAAGCTGCTTGTTGCAGTATGCTATATATTGAAAGTTAACCTGAACTTAAGAAGCAGAGTGGGTAAATTCACAAAAGAAAAATCTGTTCAGGGCTTTTAAATTAAAATGACTTAAATACCTGCTTTTAGCTCCTGTTGAAAATGGGATGTAGGATGCGGTGATCTGATCTGTTGCTCTACTTGCTGTTACTATCACCTAATGAGTGCTCTCTAAAAGAGCAAAGAAATTAAACAGCACCCTTTTTGAAACTCTTACTTCTTGAAGTATGATAATTTCTTATTTCATAGGCCATGTTATCTCCAGTGGTAAGCAGAATTGGAACCTGGGGATGTAATCTGTTCTGGAAGAGTAATTCTTTGAGTTCATTTATGACTGATGTGTTTCATGCTTCATCTCACCAGAAAGAAGATTTAGAACTTCCTCTCCAAAGGATAATGTTTTAGTTTTAGAGCATTATGGACCAGGATACCTAGTTCTTTTTCCAGAAGTGCCTCAGAAAAAATGCTGTACTTCTAGTAGTAGTTAGTAACTATTCCTGAGTTGTGAGGTCTAGAATCAAGATTGGCAGTGACACACTGCAGGCTTATCTAGTAAAAGATTTTCACTGTAAGGGGCAAAAACTTAAAGTTAATAGCAAGTAGTTGGTGAGATTGACAGTGAAATTCAGGAGGTGGAAGCTGTCCTTAAGCTGTTTAATTCTTCACTAGGAGCTATTGCAGGGGAACGCCACAGGAATTACATAGTGATCATTAGTCTGTAGCATACTTTGAGTTTGTGAAACAGTGTTCATTTGAGACCATAATGCAATTTAGAGTTCAGCTTTCCAAACTAAGTTTTCTATAAAAAAGTAAATGCTAAATGGAGGGATAATGGAGCATTATTCATTATAAATAATGAAGTATTTTTAAAATCTTTGTTAGAGTGCACTGCATCATTTTTGCCATGATTGTGCTTTGTAGAAAAATTATGTTACTTGCACAGTCCATTATGAGGATATGGCTCACATCCTTGACATCTACCCAGAGTATTCTTTTAGCTTTTATACCTCCTTTTTGAGATCTCTTTAGGTTAACTCCTACTCATTTAAATTATCCTTTATTTCTCCTTTTGTGTGGATAAATATACCTTCTAGTTTTATGAAGCTTAGCCTCTGTTATTGTTTTGGTTAAATCTGTGTCGTTATGTTGATATGATTTGTGTTCTTAAGAGTTGTCTAGTTTTGTTATGGAATCACTGGAATCGCTTTATTATGTATCACTGGAACAGGCTGCCCAGGGAGGTTGCGGAGTCTCCTTCTCTGGAGATATTCAAGACCCACCTGGACACCTACTTGTGTGACCTGCTTTAGGGAACCTACTTTGGCGGGGGGGTTGGACTCGATGATCCCTGGAGATCCCTTCCAACCCCTACGATTGTGTGATTCTGTGATTATTTCAATTGCCCAAATTTTCATTTCTTAATGCCATTAAGTATATTCTAAAAAAAATGTTTTTTTCCCTTTTGGCTTTGTGACTTTGGTTTTTGAATAACGTTCAGGCTTTGAACAGTCTGTTGGTGCATGATAAATAAGTGGATGATGGAAGTCTTCTGAATGATCACAGGCCTAAGGAATACATCATCTAAGTGAAAATACTTTCAGTCTTCTAACCCATGTGCCTTGTGTCTGGTCTTTCTGTTTGTTTTTGTCTTACAAGACTAATGTTCGTATCTGTGAAACAGTTTATTGCATTGATTGCTGAAATATGAAATGTTCATCAAATTGCAGGACACTTTCTTATAAAACTGTATGAGCAGATATCTTGGATTAGCTTTCCTTATGTGCAGGTAGACACTTTTGCTTTTGCAACATATCAAATTCTAATCTTTCCACCTGGTTTTAGGAGAGAAGTACCTGTTTATGTATGGAGGCCGCTCTGTTGTGGAGCCGGTGCTTGGGGATTGGTATTTCCTGCACATCCCAGAAATTTCCTGTGCTACGGTAAGAACTGAGGGAGACTGGGGATAGAAATTGCTGCTGTATTGGAAGCTCAGCTAAACCACAGCAGTACATTTAAGCAGATGGCGCCGGCAGTACTGTTGTACTCCACACTGTTTGGTGTAGAGGTAACTTCTAAACGCTTTCCTATTGACTGGATCGCAGTCTTCAGAGAACAGCTGTAAGGGAGGGTATCTGGAGGTCATCTAGTCCAACCCCCCTAAAGCCATCGGAACAGATTGCTCAGCTCATTGAGTGCTTGGGTTATGATGACATTCAAGGATGGAGACTCGGCAACCTCTTTGGGCAACCTGTTCCAATGGCTGACCACCCTCATAATAGAACGTGAGGGTTTTTTAATGTGTAAGTGGTTTTCCTAATGATTTTATTTCAGTTTGTGGCCATTTTCTCATGTTCTGTCTTGGATACATCTGAGAACGTTCTTTCTTCATGCTCCTTCATCTCTCCCATTGGACACTTATGCATATTGATAAGATTTCCCTGTGAATATTCTCTGTGTGAGGTTCCTGTCCCGTAATTCTCTTTGTGGTACTTTACTGGACTCACTGCATCAATTCCCTGGTTTCCTTGTACTGAAGAATGCAGAACTAGCCACAGTGCTCCATGTGTTGGACTTGATGATCTTCAAAGTCTTTTTCCAACCTGACTGATGCCTGAAATTGTTTCTCCTCATGCTCAGGACTTCTTAAGTCCCATTGTTCAGCTTCAATTCTTCCCATTTTTCCAGCCTGTTGTGTTCTCTGGCAGCATAACCAGCTGATACGTTAGATGTGCCTTTTTATCATTTATCATACCCTGATTGTTCTGGGTATCTCTGAAGTGCCTGGAGGTAATATGCCTAGAAGTTATTGTTGTTAGCAATGAAATACCAAAAAAAAAGCAGAGAAAGTTGATTGTCTTTAGTCATACTATCTTTCAAACAGAAATAGATTATGAACTCCAGACTACATGGAGGAACTTCTGTTAATAGCTGTTAAAAGTAGTGACCACCTCCAGCAGCTTTGGGACCTGAGAATTCTTCCTTCCATGGAAGGAGCCCTGTCCTGTGTGCCTCAGGACCACCCAGGATGTGTATGTCCCAGGACAACATACATGGCAGTTTCTTTTCCCATTTGCAGATTCAACCAGTAATGGAGGTGAGCATACATCCCAGAGACATGCACATGAACACGAGCACATGTAGAATACACTGGTATGGCCATCTGCACTGACTGCTGCCAATAAGATAATGCTTTCAGCAGCACACATTCAACATTACAAGGACTCACATAAAATGTAGATAGCCCACTTCTCTTCCTCTTCTTTGTCTGATAAGAATTCAGGTTCACTGATCAATGCATATATGCCCTCACCCTGTAGACTGACAGGCACATGCAGATTTGTAGTTCCCTCATGTCTCAGGATATTCCCTATATATATAGCTGGTACCTCTGACCAGATCCTGAGCCCTCCTGCCTGCTCTGAGTCTGCTGCTTGCCAGCTAGTCTGGCTTGAAATTTGCTAGCAAACAGAAATGCACACACTTACTTCACAGGCACCTTGCACTCATGGATCCTGTGAGTACCACTGTGTAATAATAATACCTATGTGTGTCTAAGGCCCTGTACCAAGTACTGGAGGCTGGTTGGACCAGCTGACTGGACTAGCTCCAAGTTTTTTAGCAAATGAGGGATGCACATCCCACACATATGAGGTTCAAGGAAGGAATAATAAACACAGTGGTCTCCTTTCCAGGAACTAGCATCTGGGCACAAGAGCCCAGATGACCCATAGTTCTACTCCAGCAGCTGATGCTGAGACTCTGACTTGTTTCAGTTGCCTAAGTTGCCCAAGTAGTTGCACGTAGGACCTGCACAGTTCCTGTTACCAATGGTCTCATCCCAGTGACTGGAGCTTTACTTGTTCCAGTTGTTGGGTGATGCTCTCACTACAGGACCAGACTGCCACTGGTCTCTGCAGTAGAGCAGTAATAGCTGGCACTCTGGATACAGAGCCTTTGAGAGCCATGAAATTGCTCTCACTGGCACCAGAGAACCTGGAGTCCTTCACCGTATTAGTGACTCTGCTGGCCTCATGTTTCCTAATGCATGTCTCTGTAGTTGCAGACGCATAGTCCCAGTATCTCTCCTACTAACGTGTACTGAGTATTTTGGCAAAGATAGTTAAGAAAGTATTTAATCAAAGGTAAGATATACTGTGGTGACTAGGCCTTGGGCTCAGTGAGGCAATTGTACTAAACAGTGACTGTTTATATGTGATTAGCCCCCTTGTAGTCTTCTTTCTGTCTATTCTTCATCTTTGTTCCTCAACAATCCCCTTTGCCTTAAAAAAGTCCTTAATAAGTTTTGTGTAGTCCTATGGGCCCCCTCACTCCGAGTATCCTGAATCCCAATGTTCCGGATTCCTTTTACCTTACAATTTGCAAGGTCCACGCTGGCCCTCTCTGAAGCCATGCTTGGAATTTCATAATGGTCCGTGGATATTAGTACTGGAGACTTTTGGCTTATTGTATTAAACTAGTACGTTTCATCTAGATCTTCAAAGATTAGCTGAGTTTAAAAATAGTGAGTAGCACAGGGTGAGAGGTTGATAATAATAAGAAATCACAAGCTAAACGTGTAAGAAACGTGATGCTGTGGAAGACCTAAACTGTGTGTTCAGATTTACAGGGAAGATTGAAGAACTTAGAGCTACTGAGTTGGTAGAAGATTCAAGATAGTAATACTTTTCAAATATGTAAAATAGAGCAACAGAGGGCAAATTATTCTCTGAATTTATTTTGGATAGTCTATAGAAAAGACAGCTTTAACTAGATACTGAGAAAAGCTTTTAATTGTGAAGATAGTAGAGTGCTGCAAGAAATGCTTCTGAAAGTCTGCACTGACAAACTACTGGATGACTCTTGCCAGACGCTAATAAATATCATTATGTTTGCCTTAGGAGGGACAAAATGGTCCCTGAAATTTTTCCCACAGTTCCTAGATATTCTTTTAGCAGTGCTTTTTCTGAGGGTTTTCTTTCTGCCCATTTGTCCTGCAGCTCAGTTTCTTCTCTTGCTTCATGCTCTGAGTCACTGATGACAGTTTTGTGACTCAGTTGTTGTAAACTTGTGGTTCTCAGGTGAGAGGAGCATGCAAGAAGGACAGTGTTACCTCTAATAATAATGTGCAGAACTAAAACCCTGTAAAGACTGAGTAACTTATATTCTTAGAGCCAGAGAAGTATTGAAAATACTGTAGATGGAAACACTTCTGTGTAGCCATTCTTAGAGGAATCAGCCCTGCGTGCAGGTGGAAGGCTTTTTTATTGCTCCTTATCGTGCCTATTTGGTCTGTTCTCCTCCCCGACTATTCCTATCCTCTGCCAGGAAGGGAAGGGAAGAGATTTGATATCATAACCACAGGAAATGCAATATGAATAGAGGCACACTTCAGGCTTGGACTTCTGTTGTCACAGATTCCTGTCGAGGGTCCGGTACCAGAAGGTCGCCACTCTCACAGTGCCTGCAGTTGGAAAGGAGGAGTGCTGATTGCTGGAGGTTTGGGAGCAGCTGAGCAGCCCTTAAATTCAGTTTTCCTTCTAAGGGAGACTGAACATGGCTTTCGGTGGCAGATTGTAGAGACACAGCCTCCTCTCATCCCAAGGTAAGCAGAAGGCATTTAGTAGTGAATTCTAGGCCTGCCTCTAGCTGTCTCTCCTTACTAATGGAATACAATGGAATGTTAAACTCACAGGTATTCACATACTGCGCATGTGCATGATGGAAAACTTGTGCTTGTTGGTGGAGTGTGGTTTCACTCGCTGCGTGTGCCAGGCATCACTATCATTGACTTAATGACTGGTCTGTGCTTGGACTACACAATTAATGCGGTAAGTACTGGAATTTTTCTTTCAGGACAGGCAGTATTGTGTGAAAGAAAGTGGTAGCTTCAAGGTCATTCCCAGAAATGGAATAGAGAATGCAAAGGAGTCAAATTTATGAGTGGAATAAACATTTCCCTGTTTGCATGATGTAACAAATTTCCTGACATAGCGAGGATAGGATTCACATATGAAACTGGAATTTGTGATTACTATATATAACTATATATATATTACTATATGTAAAAATATATTTTATAATATATAAGCAGTATGTGTACGCCTGGCTGCCTTTTCTTCATTTTCCTGAAAATATAAAGCATAAAGCATGTTTGTATGTAGTGTAGTGTTTTCTTATTCTCTACAGCAGAAGTTAGAAGGGAATTAGTATCCTTTAGATAAAAGAGGCTACTCATGTTTGATAGCAGCGAATACAATATGAAGTTTTATCTAAAATAATATAACTTCTAAATGTTACTGAGTGAGTAGATGCAGATTGATTGGGAGCTGCCTTTTGTTTATGATGTCTTTCCTTGAACTAAGCCTGCCAGTACTGTGCTAAAGTGTTGTACTAGTAGGTACGTAGTACCCAGTGTGGATTGGTCTCAAGTTTTGAAAGACTGGAAATGTCAGTGACTTTCTGTGTAGTTAGTATTACTGCTAGTGTTATTGCTTTGGTGTCCACCAGGACTCCCAAGTCCTTTTCTGCACTGCTGCTTTCCAGATGGATGGTCCCAGCAGGTCCTGGTGCCTGGGTCTGCTCAGGACTTCGCATTTCTCCTTAACTCTGGGAGGTTTCTGTTAGCCCATTTCTCCAGCCTGTCACAGTCCCTCTGGATGCCAGCATGGCAGTGATGTATCTGCCACTGCTCCCAGCTTTGTGTCAGCTGCAGACTTGCTGTCCATCGTGAAGATAAGTAATGGAGATGTCAGAGGGGACGGTCCCAGCTGTGACGCCTCCAAATGGGCTTTATGCTATGGATTACCAGTCTCTGGGCTTGGCCATGTGGCCATTTTCCAGCCCACCTCGATATCTGCTCAACTAGCCCATGCATCAACAGTTTGTGTATGTAGATCTTGTGGGGACAGTGTTGAAGGCCTTACTGAAGTCTAGGTAAACAATATCTACTGGTCTCCTCTTAATCTACCATGTAGAAAGCCATCAGGTTGGTCAAGCATGAATTCCCCTTGGTGAATCCGTGCTGACTACTCCTGGTGGTTTTCTTGTCCAGTAATTCTAAGGGCCTGATGAGTTCAAAGACATTTTCTCATTCTCAGTCACTGAACTGAAAGTTGTTCAGTGAATGGAGTATCCTTGAGGAGCACATCATGGTCTCCTTGCTGTTATGTTTTTCTCTTTTTGTCCACCATTGTGGGTGCTGTAGTTGATTGACCAGCTGGTTCCCAATAGGTGTATTGTGGCTGTTCTTAATTTTCCAATGAGAGTAGCTATATGAAATACTTCTACAGCACTGTATGAGATGATATTTGTTGAAGTCCTGTATGTTCAAGGATAACTTTCTAAGTCAGATCTAGTTTGGTGGAAGCAGTAATTGAAACTGCATTTACCAAATGCCTAACTGATGAAGTGAATCCTCTTCCCTTTGCTTCCTAGTGGGGGAAAAAAAAAATCTCACACTAAGATTTTGATTTTTGAGTCATTTGGACAAGCCACAAGTTCTGTGTCTTGAGCACTTTGTCCAGACATCCTTTTCCTCAGTGTCCAGTTCATTGTCTTGACCTTTGTGTACCTCTCCATAATGTGACTGGCTGGTGTCCTCCAGACTATGCAAGCTTCTTTTTCATCCTAAGGATTTGAAATTCCTCTTCTTTTTCAGGAACATTTGGAGTGGCCTTTAATGCTGCATAATCATAGCAGTGTTTTCCTGCCAGATGAGAAGGAGTTGTTGCTTATTGGTGGTGGTGGGAACTGCTTCTCCTTTGGGACACACTTGAATCCAAATCCTATCTCATTGAACCTCAGCAGCATTCTGACCAGCCACTAACAGGGACCGTACAGGACTGAACTGTAATGCTCCACCATGATGTGACATCTGTTTACCTGCAAGTCCAAGCAAAATGTTACTTACAATGTTTTTTGTATCCTGAATGCATCTGTAAAGGTGGGATAAGAAGAAGGGATTAAGAAGTGAAGTTCTGTCAAGGGGTAGCATATCTCATCTGTCTTTTTTTTTTTTTTTAAGTCCTTTTTTGTGTTGTTTTAAACAATATTTTTCCAGAACTAGCTCTATAGCCCTTAGAGGTGAAGTAAGGAACAGTGTTGTGTTCAAAAGTGATGTAAGTTTACACAGTGCTGACTTGTAGGTAAAGAGAAGTCACTGAGTCAAGAAGCCATTGGAAATATGCAACTAAGCATAACTAAATGTGAAACAGAATGTGTCGTTAGTCATACTTGAATGTTTCTAAAGGTCTTTGTAAGGGTATATGGAAGGAGAGTGTCTACTCCTTTAAGGATATCTGGTCAAAGACTAATTTACAGTGTAACAAGGGGAAAATGGGAAAAGGAAGAAGACATAAGCAGGAACAGAGATGCAGACCTGACCAGCAAATGATAAGGAAGGCCATAATGTGAAGCTGCCTGGTCAGTCACAGTTACTGATGGGCAGGTGTAAGTGTGTGAGAATGTTTATTCCAGCAAGGTTATCTGACTAGGAACTTTATCGAGTGGGAAACTAAAGGAAAAAGGGGAAGGCAGAAACCAGAATAAATGATGACATAGACCTGACAAAAACAAACATGAAGACAATGTCAAGAAACAAATCTCTGATAATCTGGGACAGTGTGGGACTCAGTAGAGCCTGAAAACCCATGGTGAGATGCACAAAGAAAAGAGGAACCAGGGATGAACAGAGTGAAGATGCTGGAAAATCAAGGTTATAAAAGTTGTGTGTAAAATAGAGTTGGTCAGGGCTTGTCTGGCATCTGCATTTGTTGACCACAGTCTGTCTTCTTATAATTTCTTATTAAATCAAAACTCACTCTGTATATTCACACACTGCCCTGTGCGTATGTATTGCTGCAAGGGCTGGTGAGACCTGTGTATGTGAGCAAAAATTTGGTGCCAGCTCTGGAGTCAGAGGATATTTTACTTGCAGCCACATAGGTGATGATCTCCAGGGGATCCTTCCAATTTTAGCCATTCTATGTAAGGGCCTGAGATCTGCCTAGGAGTATTGGACAGGGACACTGTGCTGCTACTTAAGGGATCCAAGCAGGGGTGCTGTCTGGACAGAGAGGCTGTATCAGTGCTTGAATGTGTGCTTTTGCAGCTTCAGTACTGTGTGTGTGGCTGCACTGGTGACCTTCTGTCTCTACAAGCCAAAGGAGAGGAAAAGGACTTGACTGTGTTTGTGCATGATTCCTGTGTATAGTTTCTGGTGAAGGCAGCATCTTGTCTGTGGCAGTCTGTGTGACTGTGTCAGCATCCTGTGTGTGTGTCTCTGGGGTACGTGCTTAGTTTCATTTATGGTTGAATCTGCAAATGGGAGAGTGGCAGTAGTGTCCTCCAGCCTGAGCAAAGATCCTGAGTCCCTAGACATTGGGCTACTACCCAGTGGCTGGTCAGGAGTGTCTCAGGCCATAGCAGCTGCAGGAGGCAGTCACACCCTTCACCTCTCTTAGTAGTCTTGGTACGACAAGCTATATTTTTTCTTGCCAGCAGCTCAGCTCCAATCTGTAGCTCTTGCTTGTTACCTGGGAGGATAATAGTATGCCAGTGAAATGGGGCAGAACTCATGGCTTTGCTCTCTCCCTTCAACAAAAACAAAGGACACACAGGAAAGCCTCTGGGGCAGGCCCAGACTGTCCCTCCTCTTTCCAGCTGAGAAGCAATCCCCCTGCAGCTGCACAGAGCCCTTCTTCCTCTCCAGAGAAGGCCAAGATAAGCTGCAGCAGTACTCGCTGGCTTACTGACACCAACTTGGCCAAGGACAGGAGCAGTGACAGGGATAAAGCTGATGTTCCAGCAGAAGGGAGTTCTATGCAGCTGGTGCCTGGGGCACAGCCCCTGCTTCTCCCCACTACCAACAGCACAGGAGAGCCCCAGATCCACCTTATGGAGCTGCATGGAGGCTGCAGCCCTCTACATGCTAATGAACTTCCTGGATGGCAAAGGCCAAGGGCTGTGATGCACACCAATGAGGCATTTGTGCTGACCGGGCTGCCAGTGGAAGGGAAGTGCTGAGGCTATGGGTGTGGGGCAATGGCCCTCCCCTGTATACAGGGGGTCCTTGTGGTCCATCGGACTCTATTTCTTCCTCAGAGGTGGAGATGCTGCCTCTCACCCTCCTTACATCGTGCCCATGCTCTGCAGCCAGAGGAGCAGCAGGCCAGAAGACAGAAAGCACAAAGACACAGCCCTGCTCACAGGGCCATCACCTAGCCCAAACCAGCTGGATCCACAGTCCTGGTGACTGGTGAAGGGTTTCTTTACCCAAGCTGCTTTTCCTTTTTTCTCTCCTCTTCTCTTCTGTATGACTCTTGCCTTGTGGCTCCACAGTAGGCCTTTCTTCCTTCTCCACCAGCAAAGGAAAGAAGAATGAGACCCAAGAAGTGCCAGCTCCTGAAGGACAGAGTGGGACACAGCCTCTGCCCTACCAAGGGCAGTTTTTCTATTCTCTTGTCCTCCTTAGCTTTATTCCTGATGTGCCCACAGTGTCACTTTCCCTTCCTTGTTCTTGGACCCTCTGCTGCAGGAAAACTTACATAGAAAGGTGTGATGATGGTCCTTCAGCCTTCTCGTGGAGACTGTGAGTCTTTGAGTTTCTGCTGAAGTTCAATTTCATAGCTGTAAATAAAGGAACCATTCATCTGTTTTTTCTGTCCCTCTGCTCTGCTTGCTGTTTTTGTTTGTTTTATTACTGTATCTGCATGCGTGTGTGAGGTTGCAGGATCAAAGTTTAAAAGATCACCACGTAAAAAGGGACAGAAGACCAAAATTCTCAGGCTGAAGGTAGGTGTTGTCAAAAGAGGATACAGATTGGCACAGGGAGTACTTTAGGATGGCCCTCGGAAGCATCTGGGATTAATTTGGAAACTTCTTGGGCATCCTGAAGAATGGTAGGATACTGTGAGCTGGAGTACACTGTGGGGTTGACAAGTTACAACACAAAAGGGTAAAAAGAAAAAGGGGGGGAATTGTGAGAGGTAGATTCATAGAATCATAGAAATATTTATGTCATTGTTATCCACACCACTCAGCTTGGTGTCTTTAGCAAACTTGCTGAGGGTGCACTCGAATCCATCATTGATGTCATTGATAAAGGTGTTGTTAAAGAGCACTGGTCCCAAGACGGACTCCTGGGGGATGCCACTCATTACTGGCCTCCACCTGGACATAGAGCCATTGATGACCATCCTCTGTCTGCGGCCAGTTTCTTACCCATCGAGTGGTCCACCCATCAAATCCACATCCCTCCAATTTGGAGATAAGGATGGGGTGGGGGACTACATCAAAGGCCTTGCTCAAGTCCAGGTAAATGACATTGGTCTTCTTTCCCTTGTCCACTGATGCTGTCACTGCATCATAGAAGGCCACCAGATCGGTTAGTCATGAACTTCCCCTGGTGAAGCTGTGCTGGCTGACTTGGATCACATGCTCATTCCTCATGTGATCTAGCATGTCTTCGAGATGGATCTGTTCTTCACCATCTTCTTAATAGTTATACATCTGAATCAAGTAACTGGTGGTGCTGTCATGAAGAAAGCTCCCTTTGTCTTCTGCATAAATGCAGAAGCCCAAGGCTGAGTCACCACCACGTATTGCAGCATTGGGAAGACAGCTGCAACTGCAACCTTGGTCAGAGTTAAAACAGGCACCGTACATTGTGTGACCTCTGAAGTTATTGCCATGATAGAAATAGATGCTGAAATCTTTCACTTAACTGTAGGTGGTTACCTCCAAATTCTTTTGCTTTGGGAAACATATAGCAACAAGAAGGAAATGCAGAAAGAGTGGAAGCAGAGACATGCAGCCTGGTCAATTTGGTGGCCTTATACAATGGAGTGACAGCATCAGTGGTAAAACAGCAACTGACATTACCTGCCAGACTTTTGCAACACCTTCAGTGTTGTGTGAGTTTCCTATTAGCACTGAACATGAACAAATCTACCACGGTACAACACGGTGAGCCCTCTCTCACCTCAGCAGAGGTCAACCTGCAACCCCATCCTTCCGCCTATCCATGTGCACACAGTTAGGATGGGAGTGAAGGGGAGCAGCGTAAAGCTGTTTGAATTCCCTGCTGACTGCTGTGGGGTTGTGCTGGTGACAGTGCGTTTGGTTTGCATTTTCTTCAGAGGGTGGGAAGAAGCTTTGGGTTAGAGGCACATCCTGTGCCAGTGTCACAGGTTATCCTTAGATATAAGTCCATGACATGGGGGCATAGGCCCCAGGAAGAAGAGAGGGGAAAACAAGGTACGAATGGTATGCTGCAACCTGGCCAGCCCTGATGCTGCAACCTGGCCAGCCCTGGACCGTGCGCTCTGGGAGTGGGGGAAGGGCAGAGAGCTAGCAGATAGTTTTAACAAAAAGAAAACACAACGGCAACAATCTGAGGAGAAAGGGTAATTTACTGAATCTAACTAAATCAAACAAAACGAGAGAGACAAGAGTATCAAAAAAAAAAAAAAAAAAAAAAGAGTCAAACTACGATAGTGTGAGGGAAAGCACATGCTTTCTCCACAGCGAGCTGAGACGGCTGAGCCGGGCCAGACAGGGAGAGGCAGCCACTCCGGGTCCTGTCCACAGCTCCAGCCCACTGCCTCTGCCCGCCAACTCCTCCAGGGATGCTGCCCCCTCCCCTCCCATCAGGATACTCAAAGAGCCCACAACAGTAAACGGAACCAGAACATTAACTTGTTAACTCCCACTGGTCCACATGATGTTCTAATGTGGAAAAATCACGAAACCACAACAGCCAGAGCACCCTGATGGATCCCAAAGCCAGACAAAACAGGAACAAACCCAAAGCTCTGCTTCATGCACCCCATAGCCATAGCATTGCAAGCTGAAATGCCTTGCTGTTTGTTGCATTCATTCCAATCCCTGTGAATGAAGACTCCACAGGCAGTCAAGACGTTGAGTGAGCACAAGTGTGCTTTTTTATTATGTCAAAGACAGGAGGGCGTGAGAGGTCCATGTAAAGATGGGACTCATACTCCCTTGGAGGGAAAGGTCATGGAGAGAGTGGCTCAGACCTCGTGCTGCTGCCTGGTGCCTGGGACTGGAGGCCTGATTCTAAGTCCCCCTCCAAGAGGCTCTGCTTCTCCTCGCTGATGCTGACCTGCTCCTGCATGGAGGTGCTGCTGTCGGGGCACTCGGACTGTGCTTGGGCTGGGCTGCTCTGCAGAGGCACTGGGTCACAGTCCAGGCTGGTGACTGTTGTGTCTGGCAGGCTGAGGTCAGCATCTTCAGCAGAGCCGGGAGAAATGAGGGCTTGAACTTGGATGAGCTCCTTGTGTCTGTCACTGCAGTTATGCTGAAGGCTGTCAACTGAACCACAGCAATTCGTGCTTCCTAAAAGCTCTCCACTGATGGAAGCACACAGCCTATCATCGCTACTTGCTCTGGCTCTTCTGGGTTGACAAGGGCTCGATTCACCTAAGAAGGATACACAGGGGTTGGTGTCAAACTTTCACAAGCTGAATTTAGAAAATGGTTCTTGATCAGGGGTGAACTGAAGGTGTTAGGTGTGGGCTGGAATGCTAGAAGGAGATACAAGCCCACTGACAGCATGAATTCTATGTTGCTGAAAAGCAGAATTTTGGAAGCTGGATTTGCACCCTTACCTGCCAGCACTACAACTTCTGTTTCTGAGGGCTCCCTGGCATTGCGCTGCTGTTGGCATTTGGCCACAGAAGATGGTTTTCCCAGGCTGAAGCAGGAACACCAACTTCCAGCTGGTGATTCCTTCATCTTGCTGGGTGGACTTTGTCTGGAGAGAGAAAACAGGGAATGGTGTGAGTTGTGCATGGTGTAGGGTGATGCAAGAGCTGCACTGAGCTCTTGCCAACAGTTGCTTGTTCCTAGCACTGCCTGGTTTCTGCTGAAGCACAACTTAGAGACTCGCTGTTTCAAACAATTGAGGATGGTTCCATTCCCATAGCTCAACTGTGAAGTCTTGCTGGCTAAATTCCCCTAACCTATGTCAAGCAAGATGCAGAGCATGTGAGCAAATGCACATGCTGTACAGGACAGCATCTAAGGGATGGTTTTTATTGAGCTGGCAGGTGTAACTACTTGCTGAGGAATCGTGCAGCCATAAAGGAACTTCAAAAGCATCTCTGACTCTGACATTAACACCTCATCAGCCTATCTCACTGCCATGTTTAGTTTCTAGTGCCAGCAAGTCTGATCAACAGCTCTGCTTCGAGGAGAACAGGAATTGTTTCAGCCCCGTAACCCTGAAATCTGGAAAACCTCAGTGTTTCCAGGTACAGCCAGCACAGGCCAAGATAGAGACGTCAGCGTGGCTTTATGCATCTCGTGATTGCCTGCCCAGCAAGGAAGCAATGGCAGCCTTGTGTGGCTAAACTGAGCCCATCGGGCAACTGAATGTTAGTTCAGTCTCACAGTCCAAAGGGAGTGGAGATTCACTGCAACGCTACAGGCACCATTAGTTTGAGTTTCAACGAATTTTGGCACTAGAAATAATGGGAAAAAAAACCAAAAAACTACACAAAAACTCACTCAATGATGATAGGTGCTGGAAAAGGAAGTCCTCTTTACCTTTCAGATGGAAAGTTGATGACAGTGTGGAATTTCCCTGGTAAAGTTGCAAAGCCTTCTTCCACTTCTATGTCCCTGCTCTCTGTCACAACAGGAGAGCTGCTGTGGCCTTGCCTCTGTGCCCATGCCTCCTCCAGGGTGAGCAGTTCTGTGGCAGAAGACACCCCCACAGACTTGGGCCCTGAGAGAGAACTGTGCTCTGTAAGGGAAAACCACAGGTAAGAGCAAGGATCAGAAAGCAGCAGCACAGCCATTGCAGTTCTGGGGGAGGTGCTGTATTTTATTCAGACTTGCTTATGCAAGCCACTGGAAGAAGAGGAGCTCAAAATGACCATGTGGTCAGAGGTATGCTTATGACAAAGTCATAATTAAGAGCAGCTCACCGTATCAAAACATGCAAACAAAAACCCTAGATACTGAGGGCAGGGAACTGAGAAAGCTTCACTGCCACACTTTCATCAAGCTTCACCTGTGTGCAAAGCATTATAATGACAGTGACTGTTTTCTCCTTGTGAAATTTGGGCTTGGACATTCTCAGCATCCAGCAACAGGATGCCATATTCTAATCTAAGCCCAGAAGACTGCTGTCCCCTCGATAGTAAAAGCATATTTCAAAGATCTTGGGGAAGGCCTGCATTTGATCAAGGTGTCTGATCAAGATAAAGCTAATGGAGAAAGACACTCACCTGCTCCATCTACAATGTCAGATCTGGATTTGGAACAGAAGAGGACATCTGCGTGGTTGATGATGAATTCCACCACAGCCGACTGCATCTGCAGCTCCATGCAGGCGGCTCTTCCGCTGGCGCAGGCAGACTCTTTCTGCTGTGATCTGTAGAAAAGGCAAGTTTTAGAAGTCATTTCTCCAAGATCGTTTCCCCAAGTCTGAATTGCTGTAGCCCAAAGCTGTCAAAGTGGGCTCTGGAGACTTCCACAGTGGGCAATCGGTGATGCCACTGAAGAAATTCTCCTGGCTGATCAAGGACACACCAGTCCCATCTAAACAAGAGAGCAGAAATGGTCATCTAGAAATTGTGCCTATGGGTTTGGAGAACAGTCCAGTCTCCTCCTCTGCTGTCAAACACTTACTACAGATTTTACAGGAGAAGAGCACATTTGATGGAGAAAAAGGGAGGATTGCTTTATTTTACTGGAGAACAGATCTAAGCGTTCTGTTGAAATGGAAAAATAAGTTTACCTTAAGAGGTTTGGAGCCCACACAATAGAAAAGTTCTTAGCATGCATGTTTGTGATAGAGCAGTTCCCAGCCAGACAAGCCAAGTGTCTCATCAAGTACTCCAGTGTCCTGGAAAACAAGAGAGGCAAATGTTCAGCACCAACAAGCATGCCGTGCTGCAATTCACAAAGCAAACCTCTATACACACTAGTTGTTATTGCTACTGTAACTGAAGATGAAGTAGATCCAACTTGACTAAGTGCCACACTGCAGCACCAAGCCCCAGCTCAGCACAGCTGCAGCCATCAGCTGCACCAAGTGTGCAACCCCCGTGCCCAGGAACTGACCCCATAAATTAACCCCATGTAGCTTAAACTGCTTCAGCATGCACAGGCATCATGTTGCTAGCATGAGACAAAGCCTGGAATTGCACCATTGCCCTCTGAAATGCAGCAGGGCTGAGCTCAGCAGACTGAGGGCAGCACTGACCTGTAGTGAGGAGCGGGCAGCTGCTGGATGACGTCCTGCATTCTGACCAGCCGCTCCTCATCTGTAGTGGCATCAATAGCATCCTGGAATAGTGCAGAAAGGGATTGAGTCACAAATCAGGCTAGATACCTGCCACAGGGTCAGGAGCTATGGGGACAGTGCACTGTTGGACAGCACTGAGGCACATTTGATGCCTTCCAAGAGGTATCTGGGGAACATAGCAGCATGCAGCTGGTGCCACCAAGGCCAAGGAGTCCAAGCACTGGGCTGGTTTACAGCCTGGTTGAGCAGCTCAGCTCCTCACAGTGGCCATTCATCTCCAAGTACACTTTGCTACTGATCCCATTCCTGTTCTGTAAATGGTTGGGGAATAGAAAAAAAAAAAAAAAACACACAGGAATTCTCGCAAGCATTATGAATACGGAAACAACCACCTTCTGGCACCACCAAAAGTGGCATCAGTATGACACAGGATGTGGCAAAGACATGCAAAAGTAAACCTCATGGGACTAACAGAAAAAGGGCCTCAGAGCTGGGGCACTGCTGCAGCCATCTCCCAAGAGGCCCAGGGAAGAGGTAAGGGAAAGATGTTGCCTTGTGCTTACCGAGAACTTGTCATACAGCTGGTCAGTGAGCAGAGGGTTTGGGAGCTCCCTGAAGTACATCTTGCAGAGGGAGCTCGCGCTGTGAATGTCGCGGACGGTTAGCTCAGGAATGTGCTCAGACTCAAATTCATGGCTGGAGAGAAGGACACAAAAATGGTTGAGAAAGAGGAAAGCAAGTAAAAAGCCACACCAAATGCAATCAAGAATGGGAAGGGCTTCCTGATTTACAGGAGAAAACACTCGGTCACCAGTGCCATATGAGCCATGCTGGATGGGATGTTTCCAAAAGGAGAACTTCTCTTTTTGCTAAGGCATTTCCCACAGGCCTCTGAATGCCCGCAACAAGGCACACGCCCCTACTGACAGCTGTGTCAGTCGCAGCACTCTTACCGGAGTCTCTGGATGTTGGACGCAACGCCGGACAGCCGGTATATCCCCTGCACCACGCCGTGCTGCTCAATGAATTCGGCGCAGCTCTGGAGGACCTGGGGGACTAAAGAACACGTGCCAGCGGTTAGTTGGGCTTCTTATTCAAGCCCTGGTTCAGGCTGTGCTCTTGTCACGTCCCATCCACAAAGCCCAGCCAGGCATCGTTTAAGGAAATACAAATGTGCTTGTCTCTTAGGAGCATTAGCCTCACTTTATCTTTCAGCCATCAACTCCCATTACCCATTTCTCCACTGGCATCAGCCTGCCCCTTGCTAGATATCATCTCCCTTTCATCTTTAGATTCCCTGCAGAGGAAGATCTCAGGAACGGTCCCTTACCATCACGACCAGAGTGGAGAAGATGCTCTCCCAGGTCACAGCCAAACACCCTTTCCTTCTCCACCTCCCGCTCTTTTGGCTTCTTTGGGCGGGCCTTCACAAAGGAACGAAGGAAGGTGATCAGCTTGCCGCGTTTCTTTGGCACTGCACAACAAAATGAAGAAACCAGTTCATTTCAGTTTTGGCTCAGTTGGACAAGGCTGAGCACAACACAATTCTACAGAGCATGTCAAAATGGGAAGAACATTACCAACAAGTACATACAAAAAAGGATTTTTCCCAGCTCTAGAGGAGTCCAAGGCCAGATTGGATGGGGCCCTGGGCATCCTGGTCTAGTCCCGCATTAAATGTGGATGCTGGCAGCCCACCCTGAGGCAGGGGGTTGGAGCTTGATGATCCTTGAGCTCCTTTCCATCCCAAGCCATTCTATGAGGATTCTAGCATTTCCCCAAGTCCAGTTATAAATCTCTGCACATTCCAATGGAGCTTAATGCACTCCTCTTGCTTAGCTTGCTCAACTTGGGGATTAAGGATCCTCTTGAAAAGCCACGTTCTGATCAAGTGTATCACTAGCACAACCAGACCTCTATCTGTCCACCAGGCACACTGGCTGTTCTCAGCCTCGTACTGACTTGCTGGAGAACTGCCTTTGCCCTCCCTCAATCTCACTGCCTACAAAACAGCAGCCATACATCCCGTGGTATGCATGAAGGATCATCAACACAGAGGATAACATGGGATGGATAAAGGAGGTATTAAACATGGAAGACACCCCAAAAAAGACTCCACTTTGCTTCCCTGCACCATCAAATGTAACATCCGTACCTGGCTTTGGCACTGAATTGATGAGAGACTCTGGAATTTTTCCATCAATGAGCTCCACACACTCGCTAGGGAAAAATCCAACCTGTAATGAGAACAAAAAGAGAGGTGCAATACTGAATGCAGCATTTCTCAGGCCTGAACTGGTAAACCTCGGAACGTGCTTGCCGGACACTCCGTAAAGCTATTCAACAGAAAATGGCCTGCATAAAAGTAATAATTACTCAACATTTGCAGCCAAAAGATCCAGAAAACTGCATACGGAGCAGGGAGAGGACAAGTATGCTATGCGCTCCTAAATCCCAGCGTACCTGGACAGAAAGACTTCATATAGAAGTTACATATTATGATAATGCAGCTTTATCTGAGTTGCACAGCCTATGAAATTTCTGCTTGCTGACTGAGATGCAGCTGCAGTCCCCAGCTCTGAGCTACCCAGCATTCTGCAGCCAGCAGCAGCAACAAGAATGCCGAAGGTCTGTTACCCTACCTTGGCTGACAGGCAGTAACTTCGTAACAGACACTAACTTCATGTTCCACCTGTGTGCAAACACAGATGCTCTGAGACACTGAAACCAGTGTCTTAACTGCTGTATTTCTGAAGGTGCAGTTCAGTGGCCATGACCTGATGCATGTTGTGAAGGCTCTTGCTTCTAAGTTAATTGAGGAGGCAGTTTCCTCCTCTTTCAGCACTGGCCCAAGCCCACAGGAAAAGGAAAAGTCCTCTGACACCAATACAGGGAAACCGTTTACGTGCATAAGCCATTCTGTGCAGGCAGAGCAGCTCTGAGCTGAGATTCCTGCCTTTACTGAAGTTGCGCTCTCAAGTCTGATGCTTGTGCCTACCTGAAAGCCATGCTTGCCTCTCCACCAAGGGGTCAGCTCCTTTGGTGGCATAGCAATAATGCACACGATGTCTCCCACCTGCAAGAGATTGCAACGTCAATCCCAGCTTCAGCACGGCTGGGAGGAAAGCACAGCTCAAATGACTGCATTCTTCTGCACTGCCAAATCTCGTTAAGCTTGAGAGAAATTGCACCAGTGCAGCTCTTAAGGCATTTGCCTTTGTACAACTGAACTTGGAGGTAGAAGAGTCACTATGTTATACAGCAGCAGGCTCTCTGACAAAGGGGATGGAAGAGCTCCAGTTATATGCAGACATAAGTTAGCAGGACAGATACTGAACAGATCTACACACTCCATACACTGGTCTGCTGTTGCTCAGAGACCAGGCTACAATACTGAGCAGCATCTGTTTGATCAGAAGATTCAAATGCCAACTAAAGCCGTATTTTAGAGATGGCTGAACTCCTCCCTGCATCCAACCCAGTGCAAGTCTAATCTGGAACTGCATCTTCTGGGCTTCACTTCACAAAACATTCTGAAAGTGTCTGAGAATATTCCTGATGTATTCACACCTTATGCTCCTCTGCACATGACGACAAGGAATACCTTTAACTGCTTACCTCAAAGGAGAGTTCATCCGGTGCCTGGGCAACATATCTCTTAATAACATAAGCAGCAGCAATAGCTGGAATATTAAGAGATGACTCCTCATGGAGCAGCAGGGGCTTCCCCTTGTTCTCAGTCTGAAACAGAGAGCACAGGCCACGGTGAGGAGCTGAGGACAAACGAGGAGGATTTCAGGCTGAGGAGCACATCTGCAGAGAAAGCTGCAGGAAATGCACTCGATCCTTATCATGGGCACATAAGAAGGAACGGCAAGTCTAATAACAGTTGTTTCTCTTCCTGGTGTGCAGCAGGCACTCGCCAGACAATGCCAAGATGCATCTCTCTCTACCCAGACTAATCAGCAATGGCACTGACCCAGACAGGTGGCCTTGCCCGTTTCGGCCCATCCTTTCCTGCACTCTTTGTCCAGGAAGGTCAATTGTTTAAGATGCTAGGAGACCGTTAAGAGGGAAACCAAAGCTTGTTCACAAAGTGCAAACAGTGCGATTGCAAGCAGAAAGCAAGCTCTCTTGAGCAGTTCAACAGCAACAGTGAGGCCAAACAGGAGCAGACAATGTTTGTTGTTTCTGCAGCTATTTCAAGGGAAAAATAGGAAGAGGACACCACAACCGAGATGGCTCCGATAGTTTTATAAACTTGCCACACTTGCACTATTGTCTTGCCAAAGGGGAGCGTAAGAGTCTGCTCACTTCCTGTAACCTATTGCCTGGGGACCTCAGCCGTGGACTAGACACAGGAGCTGGTCCACTGACCCAATCCTTGGCTCACTACAAGTGCCACCTTCCTTTAACTTGGTGAAGATGAGAACAACACTTTGTCTTTGGGTGACAAAATCCAGGCAGGATGGGGAAAATGCTCCTGCATCTTTTTTATGCCGGATCTGATTCTGTCGGTACTATGATTTCATAGCCATCTAGATGCCCGTAGCAAGGAAAGAAAGCTTTTAAGGCAGCTTTTCAGTGACACCAATAGAGCAGCAAGGATTCGCTCTCTCTTGAAAAGCAGGAGAGCACATTTGCAGCTCACTCTGCTGGTTCAAGTCAGGGAACAAAGGCCAATCACAGTTTCATACTGTACCTCCTTCCATGCCACGTCACGCCCACAGCTGATCTCGCTGCATGTGTTGCCCATCACAGCAGGCACAACAAGCTGGAACTGAAAAGAAACACGCTTGTATTTCCTCTGTTCACACACCACAGTACTGAGAGACTGCTGGAGAACTTGGCTACCCTCTGGCATAAGCAGGTGTTCTAGGAGCAACTACTTTGTTCAGTCAATTCAAATGTGACAGCCTATTACGCAGCATTTTACCAAGTGGCTATCCCTCTGCTAGCAGATGGGGACTCTGGCGCAAAGCAGCAGATGCATTTGCCCAGGGCACTCTGACAGCACAGTAGCAGGGCAGTGAGAGGAATCATTGCTGGAGGTGGATCTGCTCCCCAGCCCTCATCTCCCAGCAACCTCACCACCGGCACCTACCACAGCCTTGCACATGGGTTTCATCTGCTTGCATCTCTGCAGTGCTCCCCACAGCTGTCGAGCACACTCACACAGCCGAAGCACGCATGCTTGGGTCCTTGGGTCATGTTGTGCAGCTCTGCACAAACTGGGGCTAGGACTCTTTGCCTAAGGGATTGGTTTCCTTAAGATTAGCTGGTCACAGCACACAGACAGCATCCTTCTGAGGGCTGAGCTGGAGGGGAAGTGGAAAAAACCCACACAGGACCAGTGTCCCATCAAAGCTGGATGAGGCTGTGTTACTAAACACGGTGCAACACGGGCTGCTAAACCATGTGGAGGACAAAACATGGCACATACCTGGCAAGAGATCAGAACAAGGTAGACAAGTTCCTTGATGCAGCTGTTTCTTGTCACTTTGCTCTGTTCTTCCGTGAGTGAAAGCTGCACCAAGTGAGCAGGCAGAGGAGAGAGAAGGAACAGGTCAGTGAACTTGCACAATTTAGCAAAGATGACAAAGGAAAAACCATGGGACAAATGCCACCTTTATAGATCACTTGGAAATCTATGTACTGGGTGAAAATTATGTCTGATGGACAAGATGAGCTCCGCCAGCCAGCAGTTCTCAACATCTCACTGCCCACCCATCTATCTCACACTGTCTCAGCTTACCTACAAGATGCTGCACAAGACGGTGTGAAAATGAAGGTACTCAGTCAGTGCACAAGTGCAACAAGCAACCTACTCAGTCAGAGCTCAAGCGCTCCAATGAAGGGATGCAGCACGCACTGCTCCTCCCCTCATTCTAGCCACTTATGACATCACTAAGGGCCACCAAGCTGCTGCACCATGACGGACAAGGTGGGGGGGCAAGACCATATCACAAGACCAGAAGATTCCAACTCCCCACCCCAACATTCTAGAATCAGTGTGGGTGGAATTCCATCTCAGTCAAATCCCGGAGGAGCTGGCATGGGGTTGTCATGACCAAAGTGCAGCATCCAATGCTTGCTCTTGTTTAGCCTTGTACAACTGGCCTCAGGCCATTCCTCTGGAGGGCCTTCCTACCCTCAGACAGATGGACACGTCTTCCCAACAGCATACCTTGCAGTGCAGGGCCTATGTAAAATCCACACTAGAGTCCTACATGTCTATGTCTATATACACATTCATAACTACTATCTTTTTCTCTACCTTAGTCTTGAGCTACACAATTCAGCTGTTTCACTTCCATAAAACAACCCCATTGACGTATCACTGCTGACACAATGTCCTTGCAAACACAGCAACTCCTAGCACTGATAGCGGCAGGTACAGCAAGCACAGGGCAGTGGGTTGCTTTGGATGCAGTTAGAGCACAGATCTGAGGTCTTAGTGGAAAGCGCCTTGCAAAGCACATCACGCCCTGCACCAAGCAGAGCGCTGTGCATCTTCCATCTCTCCAAGCTTTGGGGCTTTGAAGCAGCACAGTGTTTCTTGGGAGTTTGTCCCCCAGAACTCCAGAGCACATTGAGCTGTTCCCTGGCAATTCACAGCTTGCAGAGGGTCAAACACAACAAAGAAAGAAGGAAAGAAAGAGGCAAAGGCCATGGCTGTGTACAGAAGCGCACCGGAAGAGTTCAGCAGGAGAAAGAAACCTGCTGCCATAAGTCATCTAAACAAAGGGTTTACATCTCAAAGTTACAGAATTTTGAACACAGAAGCACTGCCACGCAAACAGCACAGTATTTGGAAAGCAGCACGTCCCAATCAGCCTCCTTGCCCTGCACTAACCACTCAGCCAAACACAGAAATAAAACACACAAACTCTGTCTCTTTGCTTGTGGCAGCCACGAAGCTCATGTTTTAGTGACACACAGAAGTGCATCTCCAGCTATTGTGTGTCTCGCTAAGGGCAAGCTCAGCTGTGAGCTGTCACTCAGCCTGACACCACAAACAGAAAACAAGCGTACATAAACGGATGCCCTTATCCACACGAGCCAATCCGGATGCGAGGAATAAAAGGCTCATTGGGCCATGGGCAAAGCAGGGAGCACATAGGCAGGAAACAGGAAGGAGTTAACTCCAGCTCTCCTACACAAAAGACAGGGAGAGCTGAATCAGCACCACAGGAAGAGTTATGACACAGCTTAAGAGCTTACAGACACCTGAGGTTGATAAAGGATGGTGCCAGGGTAACTCTCACCATTCTTTTGCAGGGGTCTTATGCATGTTTCAGATGTCGATTCCACTGCCTGTGTCATTTGTAGGAAGTCCAGATGACAAACACTCATTTTTTCTGGGTAACGCTTCTATGGTTTGATGGTTATGACTGGAAAAAAAAAAAAAAAAAGATGCAACCCTTTAAAATTTACCACTCTGCTGTTCTTGTCAGCATGATATCTCAGACCAGCATTACACATCCCTGCACCTGACTGAAAATTCATCCAAGTCTATGTTCCACATAGCTTCATCTCAGTGCCAAAAAGAAACACGTGCAGAGATGTTTAGAAGATTCTTTGTGCAGATAAAAGTGCAGGGTGTGTATGTATTCTCCTCAGTAATGAATATTACTTTATAATCCAAAGATAACTTTTCAAGAAGTAGAATGAAAGGTTGATGAAAAGGAAATACACAAAAAAACTATTGTCATTTAAAAAATCCTTTGCTAAACCTCTCCCCATCAAAAAGGAAGCATCCTGGGCATTATTAACAGCAGTTCGGAGAACATCTTGCACCACAAAATGCACCACAGTCTTTTTTTTTTTTTTTTAACAAGCCCCTCATTTCTCTAATTAGTGTCAGATTCCCTCAAGTTAAAATACGTGAATCAGAACAGTCGTTTAGTCCTGCTGAGGTAGGAACCTATGGCTGGGATGTCCCCCCATCCCGTTCCACGCTATTTCCAGCATCGGTGGGGAAAGGAAGAGTAACTGACATCACCTACCCAGGCTTCTGCAAGGCCTTTGATATGGTCAAAGGGAGAAGCATAGATGAGAAGTGTGGGGGAGAGCTCCCGTGCCACAAAGCTCAGGGCTGGAGAAATCAAGGTTGCCTCCAAGATGCTGCTTTAAAACAACATGAGATACTGCTGTATAATCAATGGATATACAGATGCTATAATTAAGAAATATACAGGAAATTTAGGCTGAACAGGTTATCACACTAAAGAAGAATGGATGGAAAGCTTACCACCGAGTCCTGGGCTCTCTGAGAAGACTCCAAGAGGAGCAATCTCCAAAAGAGATCCTTCCTCACTGGTAGTCAGCTCTTAAACGGGGTCTAAGAGAAGTGGAGACAGGCTCCACCCCTTCTGGTAGCACAGGTGAATTACCTTCACCTGTGCTCCCATGGCTGACTCATTGCTCGCCTCAGGTGGTCAATCAGAGGTTCAGGCCACGATTCAGCAGTTCCCATATGACTGCACATGAGACATGAAAGACAAGGTTAAATACACAACATCAGCGCTTCCTGTAGAGCATATCACACAGCTGTAGGCACACCACAGAAGACTCGCACTCCACCTGAGAGTTAACTATTCAGGAAGGAGAACCTTACCGTGTGAACGCAGTGACAAGCTCTTTTCTTCCTGGCCTTTGTTCACAGTTTGGGATTTCCCCCAAGACCGCTGCTGTCTTCAGCTTTTGGCCACTTCCACTGCTGGACACTGTGCCCACAAGTCATTCTGCTTTGGGCAATGCCTTCTAGGTTATCTCCAAACCACTGTCACAGACCACAAAATAACATAGCTGGTTTGTATGAAAGGGCTCAAAGACTGCACTCAGTATCCCTTCTGCTGGTAGTTCTCTCAGGACAAAAACCACCTCCACTCTCACAGCAGCAGCAATGAGCCAGAAGGCTAAAAAAGCCTCCAATCCCCATGGACACGACTGTCTGGAAAGACAACAGCTTTTTAGCAGGGTAATGCTCACCCAGCAAAGCACTCACCCAGCAGATGCCATTTTCTCACAGTCAGAACAGTCACAAGTGTGTGTAGCCCTTAGCACTGCATAGCCATTCTTCAAGGCTAACATATATCCACACCATTCCTTGTGTTAATACTTGGATCCCCAGTTAGGGGTAGAGCTCACGACGTCAACACAATGTGCAACTGGAAGACATGTCTCAAAGCTGAGAAGAGTCAACTGTCTGACCTTGGGCACAACTCACCAACCAAGAGCTAGGCCTTACCAACTTGGCTGATCTGAGCACACTCAACAGGGCCACACATCAGACCACAAGTGTCCATTTCAATTGCAGCTCCATGTAGAGAAGAACACCAATTACCAGGCATGAACAAATTCATTCACAAGCTGCATAATGACCTTGTTCTTCATAAAAATCCACATAGATTCCTAGTCAAAAAATGTATCAGAGTAGTCAAACCCTGGATCGCAACAAATGAAAGTCAGCTCCAGTACAGCATTCATGGGCACAGATAAAAAAAGAAACCAATCAGCTCCACATTTGAAGGCCTTAGGTAGGCAGACACCCACAGCAAAAGCTCCACACCTAGTCTGCCAGCCCTTAAATGAAGACTGGGAAGGGGTGGATCCTGGCTCCACCTCTTCATCATTTGGCAGCATCATGTGCACCTGAGCTTCAAGTTGTGACTTAGTACCCCCAACATCACCCCCCAGCATCACCCCCCAGCATCACCCCAACGGTGTCACCCCATTGTCACCCCCCAGTAGCATCCTCCACTGTCATCACCCAGCATC